TACGTAACACTTTTTTTTATAATTATTTTTTACTATTAAAATTTAACCTTACATAAATTTACATATAATAAATATATCGAAATAAAATTAATATTAAAATAAAGCTTTTAATTTTAACTTTAAATTAATATAAATTATATATTAATGCGATATTTATAATAAAAGTTATTATCCTTTAAATACGTTGATAAAAGTTAATAATATAACGGTAGTTATAATAAAAGTAATAAGAATGGTAAAAGTGGTAAAAATGGTAATACGTGACACCTTTCCACTTTTTTTTATAACCATTAAAATTTAACCTTATATAAGTTTATATTTAAAAGTTATATTAAAATGAAATTAATATTAAAATAAAGCGCTTAATTTTAGCTATAAAATAATATAAAGTGTATATTAATGCGATATTTATAACAAAAGTTATTACCTTTTAAATACGTCGAGAAAAGTTAATAAAATATAACGGTAAAACGATTAAATTAATTAAAAGGCCTACATTTAAAGACTAATCAAAGCGCTTAAAATAAAGCATCGTTTAGTTTCGCTCCCTTATTCAACTTAGGTATAAATCCTTAAGTAAACTTAAGGCATAAGTAAACTTAAGGCATAAGTAAACTTAAGGCATAATAATTCCGGTCCCGGATATAAGCGGAGATAAAAAAGGGCCACTAGAGGTGGAGAAAATCTCAGTGACACAATAACCCTCGTAAACTCGGGCATTTGCGTCCCCGCTTCGTACGAAGGGGCCTTTCAAAAATGGCACGTATCCATCCCCTCTCGGTCTTTTCTTCCACCGTTGTTCCTTCGTGCAGACTTTGTAGGCTTAGCAACCCTCGAGATCCGGAGTGAGCGCTTCCGAATGTACTCGAGCCCAGGTACGTATTGACTCCACTGCCTTCTTAATACAATCAAATGTACCATCTTAAAGTAAATATCAAAAGCCTGTATTCTACACAAAAGCTAAGCTCGGATTTGAGACGTCAACCAAAAAAAGATATGTATAGCCGGAATAGGTAGTTGTGTTGGATGTTTGATGGTGATCAACCTAGCTTTGCACACATTGGGATCTTTACGGAGTGAATACGAAATCGTAAATACAAAGTAACGCAGAAAATTGGTATGAAAAGGCACAGATACCTCATATCCCTTTCCACGTCGGTGGGAAACAGGTATATGATGGACAGTCAGAAGTAGAAAATAATTCTTCAAGGCTTTAAGGGCATGAACTCAAGGGAGACGCTCGGTGTTACAAGAGGAAGGTTGGAGGGAGAAGCGAATCGGATGTGTTCTGCACGTAACTATCGACATGTGATGGACCGATGTTACATAAGTCAAACGAGATTAGGAAATTCGGTTGCGCCCTCGCTTAGATGCTCGAGATGCTAAGAGACTTCAAAATATTTGAGGTGGTTTCTAGTTACCTGAGCTATTAAGCGAACTCATGTTGGTAGAGACTAATGCAGCAAAACGCCATACCCCTGTTTACTGGGTAGGTAGATATAGTACCTAGGTAGGTACCGTAAGCATCGGGAGGCCTACGTGGAGTATGAAGAGCATTATACTAGATTACTTTACAAAACATAGCCAACAGAGACGACATTCTCGTGAAGTAAACTAGAGCAAAAAGAAGAGACGATATTGGTCGCTCATGCGAGTCTTCGTCATCCCGAAGCTCAAACTGTAGGCAATATCAAAATCATGGAATATAGAGAGTCTGTGACAAACTCGTGCGAGCTCCGGCCGACACTTACTCTTCGCTAGGACTGAGACGGCACCCACTTTCGGGCATCAAATCCCGGACTATTCTAGATTTAAGACTGGGGAATCCATGTAATGGAATGTTACCAGGTTGGAGCAGGGGATAATTGTGTGCCTTGATCTTCTTTCTTGTTATTAGCATGCTGTTGAACGGTTAGAAAGGTAGTATGACATGTCGATTTATTATCGGATACCAGCCGGTTAAGTTATCGAAACCTCAATACCTTAGGTAGGTAGTCTTGATAGTGTTGTGCCGAAATTCTTATTCTCCCAGATCTAAAGGGCGCCATACTTCCTGGGGATGAATCATATATGAACAACTATTCGCAACTTCGAGGACGATCTATACTCCCTAAGTCAATTCACCCGCGATTCGATCTTGAGCTAGCATAAACAGGCCAGCACAGATGTTTTAACGATCAGTCACCATGTCAGAGAACACTCAGGCTCCTTCAGCGCCAGTCAACCCCAATCCTACGAGTTGGCTTCAAAATCTGGGCATTGCTATAGAGGTAGTATGCCCTGCCCTCGCGTTATTAGTTGTGAGCTTGAGGACTTATACCAGGGTCAAAACAAAGACCTTCGGTTGGGGTAAGTTAGCAGCCCAAATCTCACAGCTAAGGCACGAATGGAATGTTAACGAAAATGGTCACATGGATTCATTATTATGATGTTCCCCAACCTTTCGATCCCACCGAAGGACTGATATGGATCTACGTCGTCGGTGCCGTGTACCAACCCATCCTGACATTGGTAAAGCAGTCGGTTCTCGTCTTCCTACTTCGCTTCTCGGGTATCAAGGCCGGTGTTCGATACGTTGTCTGGGGCACCATTATCTTCAACACGGTCCTAATGGTGGCCATTTTTCTCACAGTCATCTTTCAATGCATTCCAATTGAGATGAATTGGAACTTATTGGTTCCCGGACACTGTATTGAGCAATTCAAATTCGGCGTCGCGGCTGCTTCGTTGACCATCATGACTGATATCGTCTCCGTGGCACTTCCGTTCTATATCTTCCTTGGGTTGAAAATAAATAGGAACAGGAAGATTGCTTTGATCGGTGTCTTCATGTTGGGTGTACTGTAAGTAACGAGTAACCCCTATTTCCTAGAGCGGGCGAGTGGGTCTACGTTCAGAAGGCAGAATACTAACTTGTATCTCACAATAGCGTCACCATCGTCAGCATAATCAGACTCTACACACTCTCAGACAACTTCAATTCCAAGAGCCCAGACAAGAACTTCAGTGTTGGATTTACAGTGTCTAGTATAGAGTGCAACCTGGCAATCATCACGGCATCTTTCCCGGCTCTATGGCCCCTAATCAGAAGGATGTTACCAAAGAATCTCAAGTCATCCTACTATGGTCACCAAAAATACGGTGGCTCACACGCACAGCAGGGCTATATCAGGACCACCGATGGGCCGGACAGTGGTATTGGGTTGAAGGAGATGAACGGCCGACGAATTCGGACCGAAGTTCGATCACAAAGAGATTCGGACGAGGAAATCCTTACCGGGACTGGCATTATGCGTACCACACAATTTACCGTCTCCACTGAGGATGATCGCTCCCGTGCAGGGCGAGAGACAAACTTCGATGATAGTACGACACGTTTCAAAGTCTCGAGCAATGGCTCTTTTTGAGCTGTAGGTTATGATGTATAATAGTACACGGCGTTTTGGGACTATGCGTTTATCTTTCGGCTATCATGACACTTCGTGGCTCGACCACAGGTGTTTGCTTGACCAAAATAGAATGGCTCTTATATTCTTGACTCTCAGAATCTCGACTTGAACGTGATAATGTTACTAGAATGTTATTAGGAAAAGGGGAAGAATAAACACTATAGACAAGCATGCAGCTTCGCAGATTCCTTCTTTGCGGCAGATGTTTCAGTTTCCAACGTAGTAGCTCCATACTTTGTTACTAGCTGGTCCCAAGTGTATAAGCCATAAATTCTAAAAAGCGGCAGCGGCTGATCCTCAACCCCATGATAGGGCCGTTAGCCTCTTCACTAATTTGAGACAACCGTTTTGGCGACCGCACGGTTCGCCTTTCAAAAGACCCCTTTCACTCTCCGCATCCTAGGTTCTATCCTGCAGAACTTTCTAATGCGTTTTCAAGGTGCCACGAAATGTCTTAAGTCTGTTGATAGTGACATTATTATATTTGGAGTATTCATTTCTGGTTCCATTATCTCAGATCCCCCGATGTCACCTACCATATCAGTTCATACCAGGTTCGGTCCAATAAGTTGATCCATGTATAAAGCTCGAAAGGGTACGTTAGATCGAGCATTAAAGGTTCAAGATCACCAGCATAGCCACAATGAATATGACACGCAACTCCGACGCTAGATAATAAGCAGAGAACACTTTTCATCCATAGATTTTCGTTACCACCGTCTACCAAACGATCCATCTGACGAAATGGATTGCCCCGGAGCTTGGCCGTATACATACCTTAGTCATCCATGAGATGTTACGTAGCAGTCCCTCAAGCTCGACCTATCTGGTCTATAGGTAGGTACGTCATGTCGGAATGTATTGCCCCTGAGCGCTGCATGAACATGGAGGTGTTCTGGTGTAGTGAGCCCTATCACCTAACACAGAATGGTAAATGTCCGTACATTGAATTTCAAAATCACAACAACTAGTAACATGGCGCTGAATAATCTTCCATAAAGGTCGTCCTACTGTAAAGTGGGTTCCCTCTATCGGTCACTACGTGTGTTCTCTCCACCTTTAGCATTCCTAAGGTAACTAGTCAAACGGCAATTCACTAGCGTATTCCCCTGTTTGGTGATCGACGACGTCTTGGTCATAAATAGAACTGATAGAATGGATTGATCGGCGTGCTGTGTGGATTTTGACATTTTGGCAGCTTCTAACCCGATCTCGCGTTGGAGAAATCTACCTTACTATGTAAAGCTGCTGTTAGAGGACCCTAGCGGTCATTCTCAATCGTCGATCTTACGCTCTCTCAAACTACCGCAGTACGATAGACACCAACTGAAATTACATAACTTGCTCTGTTCTTATGATAGGCGGTGTAGAATTATAGGTAGCCCATATAGAGATTTCCCTACCCCACTACCTAGGTAGTTCCCCAGCCCCGCCGGTCGAGTCCTTGACATTTCTCATGGGTGAGATTAGCATTCGCTCAAATGCGAGGAGAAAGGAGGAGAGTAAAATAAAATAAAAAGATAAGAAATGGCAAACGAATTGGCAAAAAAGCGACACAGGCCTGATTCGAACAGGCGCCTCCGAAGAGATGTGATTGACACAGTTGCTATCATAGATCATTAGTCTAGATAGTGGTTCGAGTCACACGCGTTAGACCACTCCGCCACTGTGCCGTAGGTTTAGCCTTAGCAAGCTTTCGCTTTGATAGGCCCGCTCCTGTGGAGATGCTAAAATTGGCGTTAGTTGTAGACTATATAATAATGCTTGCCCGGAATTAAGCCGGGATTCCTCGTTTGGACAGGCAGCCCCCAGTACGTGAAAATGGCACAGTCTTGGCACTCCTCCTCCTATTGCAACACCACGTATTATATTCAATAACCAATTGAAAAAAATCGTGAAAAATACAGAAAATTTATCTATTAATTCTACGGCCTTCGCCATGCGTTATATCAAGTCAGCGCTGTGGTATATCCTCATATATGAAAGAGTTAAAAGTGGTAATGTTTTAAAGAGGTTTAGTGGATAGAGTGACATGTTCTCGTAGGTCCGGCTGACAGGATGAAAACGTTTGGAATATTGATCCGCTCCGTTGTATCAATTGAAAACCAGGTAACCATACCTACATGTAGTAGGTAGTAGAGCTACATGGTAGGTAAGGTACAGATGAACATATCAAGCAGAGCAACGCATTATTCAGAATATGTAATGTATCGAGCTTGTGATGACATCGGACAATGCTGCTCGAAACTTACTTCACCATATTCGACATGCATCAAATGCTGCCTAGGTACGGTATGTATCTTCTGATGCAAAGCATATTGCTTCCAATCGGACTGTACTTTCGCTTTGCCGGCATTGGGGCGCCTAATACGAAGACGACAGAAACACAGAAACACAGACGTCAGTATTCCGATTTCATTCTAAAATCGCGTCGGCACAATCCTTACGAGATTAACGTGGAAGCACCTCAGCCACGGCGATTTCCAGATAATGCCAGCAAGTACCTAGCCAACCTTATAGGGCCTTGCTCACTGAGCACTACGGTAACATACTAGGTACATTTTCATGAAAGGCGTGTGGTCATAGTTAGAGACTTTTGCCATTAAAAAAATAGTAGGTGATAAGTTCTAATGAGCTTGTTCCTAGCTACTGAAGCTATCGTAAAGTGGCATTTTGCGTAGTAACACATGGTATAGACCTGCAAATAGGGGTGAACGAATGCCGCGCACCACGGCAAAAAGGATGGGAGCGGGCCCATATAAAGAAAGGGCCTCCGTTGCAAGACACAATATCCACGGCCCAACGAAGCCAACGCCAACTAGGAAGCCTCCCTTGGCTTGAATCTCAACCTATACATACATCAATAATTCGTGAACCTAAGTACCACTAGGCGCGACCTCTACCCCTACCCCTGCCTCTGCCTCTGCCTCTCCCTCCCCCTCTTCCGCGACCGCGTGTCGCTTGGAAACGTTTCTTAGGAGGGCCATCACTAACGTCATTGTAACCATCCGATTCCGAGTCGTCCGAATTACTCTCGTCCGAGAACGACAGCCTAACAACCGTCGGGCCGCCCGACCTCCTGGAAGGTCGTTGTGGTACCGGATTTTGGCGTTCTGGCGTGGGACTAGGCGAAGGCGAATCCACAGGCTCAGCCTCAACTGGCTCGAAATCGTCATCAATGAGCTCTTTGCGACCTCGTTTGGAGCTAGGCCTCGTTGGGTCTTCAACGTCATTCGGTTCTGTCGTTGGTTTATCTTCTGCGTCCTGAGTCGTAGTTGCTGCAGGAGTTCCTTTGGCTGAAGTTGTCGCAGGGCTTCCCGTTGCCCCATCTCTCGTTCGTCGAGAAGATATCTTGATCTTTTTACCCCTCAGAGCCGCTCGTTCCCTCATAGACATGAAACGGATGTCGGGAGACGGCTCAAAAGCATCGGGGTTCGGCATAGCCGGCGATTGCTGCGCGCGAGGTCGTCCTGGCGGTCGACCCCGTTTCCTCACTGAACCCCCGCGAGACGTAGCCGTAGTCGGTCGGGACTGTTCCTCACCATCGTTCGCGCCACCTAATTCCTGGGCCAGTTGAGCTTCGAGATCATCCACGGTGACATCGTTTTCATTTTGAGTAACGTGAGTATCGTCGGCATCCACCATGGTGCTGTCCCCGCCACTCTCAGGTTGGTTAAGTGTGGATTTCCTCGGCCGTCCCGGTGGGCGCCCACGCTTTTTGCCCGTAGATGGAGCCGCCGACGGAGGTGTGCCCGTTCCAATAGAGCTTCGGGGTGGCCGTCCTCGCCTTTTGGCCCCGGGTTGTGGGGTACTTTTAGCAACAGCTGAGCTCTCTCCTTCGAGCCCGGGAAGTTGGGTCAACGCCCGAATTGCATCCGCCGCCAAATCCACGGGGTCCGGTTCCTCTTCTGCAGCGCCATTCTCGCTTTCTGACCCGAAAATTCTCAAGGGCTTGATTAAGACAGAGTCATCCGGATCCTCAGCAGGCTCTTCGGCTTCCACGTACGACTTCATCGGCTTGGCATGTCGTAAAGTTGGTCTCAGAGGATCAACAGGAAGAGACGGCCTCGCCTTTTTTGGACGAGGAACTGAGTCGGGGATCTCGTTTGGTTGTGCTTCTACATTGCCGTTCACTGGCTGCTCGCCGGAGTCACTGGGGGCAGGCACTCTAGTTGGTGTAGAGCTACTGTTACCAAGAGCCCCAAGTAAAGCTGGATCCAAGTTGACAAGTTGGTCGATATTGCCGGTCTTAGGCTTTTTGCGCTGCTGACTTTTGGGGCCCCTGAAGTCGGGATCATCCTGCGTCTCAAGCCTTGCCCGTCTTTTCGCGAGCCGAAGAGTCTTTTTAACAAACTCGGATATTTCTGGCTCATTATTTAGAGCGTCGGCGGATGGCATTTGGAAGGGGTCGAATAGGATTCTGTCCGCACTCTCATCTTGGTCGTAGAATCCCATTCCCATCATTCGTTCGCGGCCAACTACTGACGGGTCGGGATACTGGGACAGATCAGGGTAAGCAGAGTCTCCTTCACCATTCTGTATGCCAGATATATCTGCGCTCCCAGCGTGATTTTCTGGTTCATTCTCGGCATCGGGTCTATTCGCAGTAGATATATCGCCGTTTCCATAACCATTAGCAGGAGCATTGGCATGGCCTAAGATGTGGCTTTGATCTCCATAGCCATTCATAATTGAATCCTGAAGGGCCGAGTCCATCTCATGGGGGGCGTCATCTGCTGCATTGAATGACGCCATTGGATCCTTAGCCTTTTCGGCGTCCGCCTGCTGCTTCAATCGTTGCATCCGCCTCGTATCTTTGCTCCGATTTTCCTCTCCAGCGGCTTTTAGCCAGTTAAGATTGTGTACTCGGAAGTCGACGATGGACTCAACACTGCGATCGTCCGCAATGGGACGCGTATCATGTCCAAGGAGTGTATTCTTGGGAACATACGGATTTGTGGTGCCACTCTGTCTGCAAGATCCACAGTTGCAGATATTGAGACATTTGGGACACTGCCAGTGTTCCGTTTCCATTGCTGTCTGAGGCATCATATCGAATGCTCGCCATAAAACACCATAACAGTATGCGTTTGAGCATGTTGTGCAAAAGTTGAGCTTGTATGTATACTCTTTATGACAACAAACGTGACAGCGGTAAACGTCGCCTGTCTTTGCCTTGCGTCTCGACTTGGACTTTTTCTTGATGCGACCCTCATCATCCACTTCCGGCTCGGATTCTTCTACTTGAGGTTCTGGTGGCTTCGTGATATCTTTCCAAGGCCTCCTTCGAAGTTGCTCCTGGCAGATCTGAGCCACTGATTTCTTGCCGGTTTTCTTCCGCGCAATTTCAATAGGCGGGGGGGATAACTCGATGTCGACAAAACCGTCCTGCTGGATAACCATCGCCCTCCAGGTCTCATGTTTCTCAATGAGATCCGACCATTTCCATTGCTCGCACCACTGGAGACCGGAGATGCAGACACACGAACGACCCATAGCGTAACATTCCATGCAAATGTCGTATGTATCTTCGTCGCCATTGATTAGCGTGCGTACACAGCACTTGCAAGTCAAGAAGCGATTAAATATGTTGGAACGGCAGTATGAACATGTAATGTTCGAGTCGAATTGGACGTATTCGACGTCCGTCTGTTTGTACCCAAACATCTCGTCAACAAGAATCTCAGTAAAAAGGCCGAACAAGCGTTTGAAGTCATTGGCCAACTGTCGCTTGCGCGACGAATTTTGCATTAACTCTTGACCGAGGCCTAACCAACTAACTTCGGAGTTATCCTCGAAAGATTGGAGCTCCTTGTAGTACTTTTCTAAGGTGTAATAGATGATGGCTTTATTCTTGTATTGCTCATCTCGGCAGACCAGCCGTGCCTTTGGCAAGGCCTCATGAAGGGCTAAGTCGAGCGTCTCAACTGTTGTCCTATTCCACGCGACTTTCATTGTCCTTGTTCCGCGGTTCCAAACCTGATGAGGCGCGAGGGGAGGTATCAAAATGAAGTCTCCAACCTTTTGTTCGACTATATAGACCGGAAAGTTGGCCTTCTTCCAGGCATTGATCTGGGCAAAATGCTTCTCGATCTCAATGTCGTGACCAAGCATGGAGAGAAAGTACTCGCGAACGACTTCACGGTCTTTGGTCTCAGTCATAAACCAGATGGAACTACCGGCCTTTTCTCCGTTGTCGTCTTGCGAAGCTTCGACCATAATATTCTGACCCAAGCTTGCGCACATTTCTCGATGCGCAGGGGTATACGTTCCTTCATGGCCGATATAACACATGAGGTTCTGCGCACGCATCTCCTCCGGGAGGCTACTCATTAAATCACCCGCGACAGCAGGAGTCTTCTCGGGCGCACCAAAGATGTCGTCATTCCGGGTGTCTGCGCTTGGGTTCTCGCTGATGTTCTCATTCATATAAAAGACGTTCGGTGGAATGACCTTCTTCAAATGTTCAAACCACTCTGGCGGGCAGTCTATATCTTTGAGGTAGAGTCGTTGTCGTCGTTCGTCGCGGAAATTGGTAGGAGTCCATTGGTTGGTCAACTGTCGCATGGATCTCAAGTAATGGCCAGTGGTCATTGGAATATCAGTCTGCGCAGTAATGTCGCGCACATTCTCCTCTATCAATATCTATCAGCATATGTAGTCTTTCCTTGCG